TTTAGACGTTTGAAGTAAACTGTGGAGACTGTAAAAATCAGATTATGATGTTTGCGAGTGTAAAACCAAATGGCTGCTGCAGCTCACCGATCCTGTGACAGAGGCCTAACTGTGCAGCAGGTGACATGGATATGCCTCCAGGGGACGGGAGGGAGTGGCCACCTGAGCCCACTGACACCTGAACCTATCTGGGTCAGTGGTCACATGACGCTGAGCCTGGAACAGAAAGCCTTTGTTAGTGCAGGAGTTTATCCTTTAGTCACCTGGCTTCTCACACTTTAGCACAAACTCATGATTAAAACTTGTGTTTTTACAGCTGTGCAGAGACTTTTTTTATGTCAATAAAAATAGTCTTTTGGATGCATTTAAAGTAACAGGGACTAACTGTTTTATTAAAGAGCAAGTCACCCCCTACCAGAGTCTGACTCCACTCCCACTTCCTGTTAGAAAAATGCAACAAATGCTGTTGCCTGGCAGACTGAGAGGGCGGAGCCGCTAACAAATACACACACACACACACACACACACACACAAACACACACACACACACACACACACACAGGCTCACAAAGGCACTGTGATGTCATAATGTACCTCCTGACCAATAGCGAGTTTTTACCTGACAGTTTTAGGCAGAATACTACAGTTTTAACTAAGATGCACTTAAGTGCCAAATTATTGACTACATGTGTCTGCAGCGTGACTAAACACTCATGAGTTGATTTGGGGGTGAATTGCTCTTTAAGGAGACAACAGACCAGAGAGAACCTCCCTGGCCTGCTGCTCCTCAGCAGCTTTTGTTTTTGTTTTGTTAAGTTTTATGTAACAACTTTGGTGGAAGCTTAAAACTCTCTGTGTTTAACCGTTCGCCCTTTTTAGGGGTAAAGGACACTTTACCCCTTCGCTTGTTTTAATTAAGACATCACTCAGAAATTAGGAAAAATAATGTGATGGTCTTTCGTGGTTTTTGTTTTAATTTGGTTAATATGAGAGTTTAGTTGTTACTCGTTTTGCGTTGCTGCTGATGTGTCTTGTTAATCTGTGTTTTGAGTTTATATTTATGTAAATAAATGTTGTTTTGTTACTTTTAATACGAGAACATGCATCCTCATTGTTACCCCAGGCCCCCTAATTACAGAAGGAGTGACACAGTCAGGGAGGCCGGGGCGAATCATGACAAGACAGCCTGGATCGTAATAAATGGGGGCTTGTCCGGGATTTTTAAACAACATCAGACCATGAAGGAATGCAAAAATCCCCTGGTGGTGGTATTTTAATGGTGTTTTATTTGTTTTAAATGATTTAAGTAAAAGATGACTTGTGGATGACTGGCGGGTGCTTCTGGAGGCTCCGCCGGAGCATCCACTGCTGGATGGGCTCTCAGAAGCTTCGAGCCTGATCCAGCCCAAGGAAAGGAGGATAAAAGACGTGGATCCAGAGATGACCCCCACAGGCGGGCTCAGAGGCTCTCCCTCTTTAGGGAGAGACCTGTTTGTTTTCTTTTTTTTTAGTGTTGCACTTAGCGGGTTAGTGTTGGTGATTTGTTTCACCATCTCGGGAGCACCCCAGGAAGGGCAGGGGCTAACCCCCCTCTCTTTGCTGGTTTGTATGTGTGTATGCGCATGTGCTTAATCTGCCCGCCCGCGCCGTGCATGAAGACCAGGGATTTTAGATAGCCTGTTTTATTGTTTTATCGGGGGCTCTCTTGTTTTGATGTGATTAAAGAAAAAGTTTTAAAAGTTACTATTGTGTCCTTTACTAACTTTTATCCTTTTTCTTTCGTTTATGGGTGGGGGTGTCATGGCAGCCAGCCTGAAGTGGGGAAAAAGCAGCCAGGATCACTCAGCTCTGGTGATCGGCCGGACACCGCCCCTCCTCCTCCTCCTCCTCTCTTCCAGGCTGCTGAGGAGCACAGCTGAGCTGAATCCATCTGATGACCAACACCTGGGATAAAAGAGCTGTGCCTTCAGCAGTCTGGGAGACAGCAGTGCAGGGGTTCTGCTGTTCTCCATGATTTGTTTTGTTTTAAACCCTTCGTTTGTTTGTTTGTTTGTTTGTTTGTTTGTTTGTTTGTTTGTTTGTTTGTTTGTTCGTTCGTTCGTTTGTTCGTTCCTTCGTTATGATGAGTTTAACTTTTAAAGTTTAAACTCTTGAGTGGTCCTGTGGGATCTTGTGTTTGTGTGTTCGTTTGTTTTAAAGGTTAACTTCGTTCGTGGAATATGATTGAAGTCGGTTTTAAACACTTTTGTTTTAACCAGGTGTTTTAATAGTTGATCATTCGTCTTTTAATGTTAACCTTTTCGAGAATTTGTGTGTGTTGCATTATCTTTATAATGCTCGTCGTCTGTTTTGCTCGTGTTTTAGAACCTTTTTATAACAATGAAACCCTTTTAATATCCCCTGTCCAGTTCTTATGTCATCCCCATCCTTCACATTTTACCATCTCACGTCGGGGACGTAACAAGTGCTTTTTTCCATGGCTGATTTGTTACATAATGAGACTTTACAGCAGAACGTCTCAGTCCGTCAGTCAAGCCAGTGGGTGTGACCTGCAACACCATTGGTTAATCCTTCAACATTGTTTGGATTTCCTGGATTTCTGCTCACCGTGCATGACCGGACAGTTTAAGGTAGTTCTCTGTCATAGCTTCCTAGCTCAATGGTCATGAAAGATGGCGGCGTTGCCTGAAATGACTTTAGCTCTGTTTTCTTTGGCGGATCAAATAAAGTTGAATAGTTTGTCAGTAGACGATATTTTGAGTTGTTTGGATGGCATTTTTGAAGCATTTGGTTCGATACTTTGTGAGCGATTGCTTTTGTCTGACTGAATCAGCAGCCAATGGCACACAGGCTCCACCCCGTTTGTCTTTACTGACGGTGTTGGATGAAAACTGATATTAACTTTATTAATGTCATAAACGAAGCTTCATCCATTTACTCTGTGATAGAGAACAGGCCATTGCAGCTCTAACAGGGAGGGGGTTTTGGGAGGTTTGACCTTGCCTTGGTGCCAGGTCCTGGTGCCAGTCCCCTTATCAGTAGAACTCCCTTGAGAAAGTCCAGACCGCTTTGTTGATTTAGAAATGCACCTGGCGTGTCTTTCAGGCTTCCTGCCTGAGAGTCTGTGAGGAATGTCGAATGTGTGTGTGTGCTCATCTTTTATGTGTGTGCTTAATAAAAGGCTTTTGGAGGGCATCTGCCCGATGACAGCCGACTGGTGTGTATATTTTCCTCTCCACTTTGCAAAGTCTAAATTGATTGATGGTTGATTATTGGTATTGGTTTTGATCAACTGATTACTACAACCCCCTGTGCTTTGAACTTTCCCCAAGGTAATCCTGGATTGATAAAATTACCCAACAGACAGACTGAGATGCTCTGCTTCAGTCTCATAATTGTCTAGTATTTCTTCATGTGGATATTTATTTCATAATATCTTATTTATTTATTGAATTTTGAATACTTTTGTGTTCCACAGAGGAGGACCATAATAACCAGACTTGTAGAACCTTAAAAACCCTGAGATTTAATTCAATTCAATACAAGCGAAGCTTGGTAAATAAACAATATATCCATTAAAACAAAGAGCCGCTGGATCGCTCTTTTGTTGCCCGCTGAAGGCTTGAAGCCTGGAGGCTCTGTGGGAATATTACTGAACAGCGGCTACGTTGATTTTCACTTTTGGGAGCAGGAGGGCCTGGAAACTCAATAATGGGAGACGGAAATCTGAGATTTAGGCCAGTGGGGTGTTTGTGGTCTTTTAGAAGAGTTTTTAAAAGTGTGACTGAAGCTTTTCCTTCTCTTTGCTTTCATCCTAACGAACATCTGTAGCTGACTTCCTGCCTTTCCTCAAAAAAAGTCAGTTTGTTTAGATATTTGATCAATAAATGTGATCATCATGCAGCAGCACGTTCCCATAAAACTGTTAGTTTCACACGATTGTCTCAATTTCGGCTGATTCTTTCTTTTTGCACCAAGTTTTAGCAAAAGCTAGAGTCCAAACGCAGAATAAGACAGGAGATGAGTCAGTAAATTAAACAAAGTAAGCACTCAGATTAGAGCCAAGGTGATGTCACAGCTACAACAGGAACTAATGATGGCCAAACAGGTGAGGAGGAGCAGAGGTGATGAGAGGTTCTGCAAGATTAAACAGGAACCAACCAGAAACCAGCAGGAAAACATCAAATAAGCAAGAATAAACGTCTAAATTTGAGCCAGAGAATGTGTGCGTGCACTTTTCAGCAAAGATGTGTCTTCATGCGTTTAAGTTTCCTAGAGAGAAGGAAAGAAAAGCTGCATGACTAGCTTTAGTTTTACAGATTTGTGTGCACTTGTTTCTCTGGAGGACATTAAAACCTGCACGCAGCTTAAGTTTAAGTTGATGTTAATAACCAACGAGACACAACTCCACTCAGGGAGATTCGTCAAGTAACGAGGAGTCCTGGGAGCAATAAATCAAATCATTTCTTAACAAATGAAATCATCCCGAGTGAATTCAGGCTGTGGCTTTGATTAGAGCCTGGCACCATGCAGCTCTGGTATGTGGTTTAGTGAGGGTGTGGGCGGTTGTTCGATACAACAAACAGCCTATCTGAGCCTTCACCCGGGAGGAGGTGAAAGGAGCAGGGCAAAATGTCTCCTCTCAGCCACGCCCTATACCAGCTCGGCGTCCCTCTGGGACAAACACCGGCTCCAGGGTCATCCCTGACTGGAATCCTGGAGCGATGAGGACAAATCTGTCCCTCAGACCTCAGGGTCATCATTTGTTCCTCCGGGTGCCGCTGCAGACACCTCATCGTCCCTCTCATCTCACACCCTGGCCCAGCAGAACTCCTAAAGGTCATCCATCGCAACAAACACGCCAGGATCTAGAGTGTGGTGGTCTGGCGCCCTCTAGCGTTGCAGAGGCAGCGCGACACCTGTCGTGCGCCTTTTGTCCCCAGCTTCTCCTCTATGGGAAGGTCATGAAAGGAGCAGATGACGCACAGCTGCGTCTGATGTCGGACAGCTCCGGTTTGAACCGCGCCTGGAGCAGCTGAGTGAGTTGTAGCGGGGCCGCGGCCGCACAAAGGGGCTATTGTTGTATGCATATGCCCCTCGGTGGAGTAGTTGCTCTTTAAAGCTGCTCCAATCGCTGCGCATAGCTCGAGCCACGGAGGGCGGGGTTTGGACACCCCCCCTCCCCCGTAGCTCACACGGTCCCATTGACGAGACGGTGAGGAACCGAGCGGCGGACTTCTAGGAGCTGCTGGCAGACCCGGGTGCGAGAGGGGTCGGAGGAGGCCCGGGTGTGAATCACGCGCGGCTCCGGGAGGTCACGGTGTGGACAGGTATGAGACCTGTGGCCCGTTACCGGGTGAAGGAGATGCTAAGACCTTGATTCACCAGACTACCCACAGGCCCGGCCCACTTCAGCCCCTCATGGATGGATCCCGCCGGAGCTGCGCTCATGGACTACAAAGCCAGTGTGCGTCCGCACCGATCCGGGAGCCCCTCCGCCCTCTCCTCCTGACACCGCCGCTCCACCCGGGCAGACCATGAGGGTGGCCGCTCGGTGAATCGGCCCCTTCTCTCGGGTTCGAGGTTTTCTACGTGTGTTTATTTATCTGAGATTCCTTTGTGTCAAAGGGCTGACCACAGCGTGCGCAGAGGGCGGCGGAGTGGCGACGCGGGGGCTCTGTGGTCGCGCGCATCTGCTGTCTTTGTGGCCGGGTCGAGATGGCAGGCGGCCGGCCGGAGGCGCAGGACCACCCGCCGGAGAACGGCTTCACCCCGCTGGAGCGTCCCGCGCCCCGGCTGCTGCAGCACATCGACGGTTGCGTGCTGCCGGCTCTGGGGGGGTTCGGGAAGCACCAGAAGCAGCTGGTGGTCCTGACCTGGATCCCGGCGTTGTTCATCGGCTGTAGCCAGTTCTCTGATTACTTCTTGCTGGCGCAGCCGCACGGCACGTGCGTACAACCTCTGGGCAACGACAGCAACTGGACTGGGTCGCCGCTGCAGCCGGAGTGGACCAGCGGAGCGGCCGCGCCGCAGCTCAAGGGCAACGGCACCGGGGAGGGGTTCGGCGACGGCAACGGCATGCTGTGTGCCTGCGAGGAGCGGAGGCTGGAGCTGCAGACGGGACTCACTCAGAATGTGGTTACCAAGGTAACAGATGGCTCAGCAGCATCATCAGCATCCCGCGTGCCCATCACATTCTGCAGAGTGCAGTCTGAGCTGGAGGAGAGGCATTCTGATGCCTGTACGTAAAACGATCGTTACAGAATAAAATGATATTTATAGTGTTAATGTTCCGGACTCGCCTGATAGTTAGGCGCCTAAAACGGAAGAGAAAACACCAGAAATAAAATAACAACTGCGTGCAAATTAAAGGTGCTAATGTTTTAGGGCATCTCTATTTAGCAACCTAAAACAACATATTTTCATTTATATTGGACCAGAAACATTTCAGCAAACTTTAATTAAAGTAACTGAAACATTTTAGTAAATAAACACAAGAAGATCCTGACACATGAATCACAGTAAATCTGCAGCCAAAGTAAACGAGCTTCTGTAAAAGCTTCCTGAACTGTTCTCAGATCAGTCTACTGGCCTTTAGCTCCAGGTCTGCAGATAAAGTAAAAGTTGTGGCGTTCTGCTGAGCAGCAGTGGTGCGTTCACTGACCCAGACCGGAGAACTATTGATTTCTGTTACCAGCTCGCAGGCTTACACACACACACACACACACACACACACACACACACACACACACACACACACACACACACACACACACACACACACACACACACACACACACACACACACACACACACACTAATATGACAGAATGCCTAGTTTCTAAGGGATTCATCTCCATATATTTTATTTATTTTTAGGTTTTTGGATCAAAAGCAGACTGACGCTCTCCTGTTTGTGTTCTAGTGGAACCTGGTGTGCGACTCGGCCTGGAAGGTCCACATAGCCAAGTTCTCCCTCCTCGTGGGCTCCATCTTTGGCTATCTAGTGATGGGCGTCATGGCCGACTGGTACGTCTTAATAAAATATGACCTTCAGCGTCACAGCTCGAGTTTTGCACCAAATTAAACGTTCTAATAACTACATTTTGAAATGAGGACAGAGTTTTTTACCGATGCTGCTGCTTTGATGGAAACTGGTTCTATTGTTGTTTCTGTCTCGATAACAACGATTCAAAAAGCTGCTGGATTTCTCTCTTAATTCGTGGATGGTTTGATTTTAATATTGGGTTTATACTTCATGTATTTTTTCAGAATAAAATGTTAAAAGTGATTAAATAAGCACGTTTAGCCCCACCGATCTGCTCAGGAATCTGAGCGTCGTTTACATGAAAACAGGATTTAGCTGACTCTTTTGTTGCCCACCCACAAATGAAACATTAACGTCTTTTATTTTATTTGCTGCTCTGAAACCCAAAACTGTTTGTGCAGAAATGTGAAGGAAAACTGGTTTGTTTGTCAAAACGACATTCAGGATAAATTCTCACCGTGCTCTGTTTACAGATGTTAAAGGAACATAAAACGGCTCTAAGCCTTTCCACTGTCGTCGAGTTTGCATCTCAAAGTTATTTTTAGATAAATTCCAGCTAGTCTCGACCTCTAGATGCTTTCTGCTCGTTCATGAATGCATGATGCAAAACTGACGAAGGAATAACGTCATAATCTGCATCTACAGAAAAGCTTCACACAGAAACGCCTCAGAACAGCTGGATTATTCTTGCAACAACGATCTGTGTGTTCAAATGATTTGCTGCAAAAAAAATTAATGCATGGAGGAAACCAGAAGATGCAAACAGTGAATAAAAGAAAACTCTGCAAGAATCACCTGTTCCCAAGTGTTCAGATTAATAATCTGCCCTTTCCTGCATAAACTACAGTATTTGGTTTGCATTGTGAGTTTTGTGATCAGATCATCCAGATTATTGTTAGAACCTGCTGATCAGAGGTGAAAATGCCTTTGCTCCAATGCTTTTAGCTTAAAACAACATTTCATGAAATGTTCCTGTTAATAGTAGGATGCTGAGGGATTATTTTCCAGATAATCTTATAATCTTAATCACTGGAAAAGACTCAGATTTGATCTGTTAGTGATAAAATATTAAATATTCAGTCAAATTAATCTTCATAAACTTGTCAGTTAACTGTTGGACCAAACGAGCAGATCCACACATCCTTGGATCTGCCTCATAATCCCTGGTAATCCACACAGGTTTTACTGGGAACCATTTGAAACGAGACAAGTCCAAGGCTTTCCCAGAAAACCGTAACTGTGAGGAGAAACGGGATCGTCACAGATTTGTTTTCTGCACACTGAAAACGACTCAACACCAAGAGCGAGCCTTCAGAGCCGTGGAGGTCCGGCCCTTGGATGAATTAAGGTTTTAATTTAGAGGTCAGGTCTGCAGCCTGCAGGCCACCCCAGTTGCATCATGGGAAAAAAAGTTGCTTTGTTGTTTCAGGATCAACAATAGAAACCATGACCCGCTGACCCCGCTGTCGGAACCAGGAAGTTGACAGACTTTGAAGGAAATGATGCAGCAGAATGATGTCTGACTCCTCGTCCCTCTGTTGTTTCTAAGGTTTGGTCGACACCCCGTCCTGATCCTCTCGGTGCTTTTCATGCTGGTCTTCGGTCTGAGCGTCGCCTTCTCTGTAAATGTCACCATGTTCAGCACCTTGCGTTTCTTTGAGGGTTTCTGCTTGGCGGGCCTCGCTCTTTCCCTCTACGTACTCCGTAAGTAAGAGCTTTCATCTCCGCAGCCTGCTGCTCTCCTGCCGCTCCCTGCACCTCCTTGTCTGTCTTCTGTCTCTCAGATGTTTAGTTCGAACCTGCAGGAGGCACGGGGACTCCTCTCTGTTCTGTTTTAATTCTACGTTCTGTCCTGGTCTGGGGGTTTCAGGCCAACTCAGATTACTTCTGCTCCACATTTAGTCCTTTCCACCCCCCCCCCCCCACCCCCCCCCCACACACACACACACACACCCGTCTCCCTCTTTTTCAGGCCACGGTCAGATTATGCATGAGGCTCAGGGCTCGGTCAGAGGGGTAGGGGTTTTCTCCTCCCTCCGCGGGGGTCGCTCACAACAAAACGAGACAAACCGAATCCCCAGACTTGTCAGCAGAGAGACTCTGAGATTAGGATTTAATCTGTGATGTAAACAGCAAAGGAGGCACGAGTAATGACACGTTTAGGTGTCAGAGGACAATAAAACATCACCTCCAACAAAGAAATGGAACCCATGTTTTCTTGTTATTTTATCTGTTGAATGAAGAAATGTTTCCTTTTTGCCTTTTAACTAACATCTGATGTTGAGATGTGGTTAGATTAGGATTAGATTGGATTAGGTTAGGTCAGTAACATAGTGGTCGTTAGTGACGCGACTTTTAGCTTCAAAGTTTAAAGAGTTTATGAAATGTTTGCCAACAATTTTCCAAGCTTCCCTCTTTTAGAGCTCATCTGTGGGATGTAGCTGATAGTGGTGCAGTTGGTAGCCCTGTTGCCTTGCAGCAAGGTTGCAGGTTCAAAGCCCAGCTAGAGCCTTTCTAAGTGTGAATGACTGATTGTGTTGTAAATCGCCTTGGGGGGTTCCAGGACTCTAAAAGGTGCTAAATCAAATACAAATAATCATTTACCATTAAATAAATACAGATATGTCTCTGACTAAAAATGCAATTATTCTATCATTAGTTCTTAAAATTATTCATTTTATTATAATAATAATTATTAATAATAATAATGATATTATTATTATCAATAAAATATTAATAATATTATTATTATTAATAATAACAATAACAATATTAATAATAATTATTAGTAGTATTATTATTAATACTACTACTACTAATAATGATATTATTGTTATTAATAATAATAATAAATAATAATAATAATGATGATGATGATGATGATGATGATGATATTATTATTATTAATAATAATTAATAATAATAAATAATATTATTATTGATATTATTATCAATAATATTAATCTTTTTATTGATATTGTTAATATTATTAATAATAACAATAATACATTAAAATATTATCATTAATATTAATATTGATAATAACAATAAAAATATCATTAATAAAAATAATAATAATAATAATAATATTACACCCTGACATAGCTCTTGTTGCCCCAATCAAAAAGCTTTCTTGGTGTGGAGGTCAAAGGGTTAACAGTTTAATATTAAAGGGTTTCTCTTCAAATCTGTAACATCTAAACACAAACTGAAAAACAAACCAAATCGTTCATCTGGAAAAATAAAAATGCAGAAACATGAAAGTAAATAATAAACGATGCTGCCGTCAACGAGAGTCCGGTCTTGCCAACTGAAACTATTTGCAATAGTATGCACCAGGACACCAGCCGTTCCACCTCCGCTCTGTAGGTAGACTCATCCCCGTCGGAGACGAGTCCGACGACGGCGGTGTCGTCTGCAAACTCGATGAGCTTGACAGACTCGCAGTTGGAGGTGCAGCTGTTGGTGTGTAGAGGGAGAAGAGCAGAGGGGAGAGAGCACAGAACACAAAAGCAGATGCTGAAGCACGAAGATGTCTGCTGAGTGGTAAACAAAAAGGAGGCCGAGCTTTATAAATAAACATGCTGTGTTACACATGAACGTACAGGACTAATCTTGTTGCTGCACGGCTCCATCTGCATCATCATCGTCAGAAATATCCCCGCTGCTCTAAATTCAGCGATGCATTACTTTTGTTTCTAAATCTCTCTGGCTCTCCTCCTCTTCGTACCGTTTCATCACAGCTCGTTTTAGGTCTCGTTGTTCGGTTATCTCTCTGCAGCACATTCTGCACAAAACACTCCACCGAGGCAAATATCTGCTTATTGCACCATTTCTGCACACTTAGGTGCAACACTGCAATGATCTTTTAGGAGACAGAGCATCTTTTTTGCAAGTTGTATCTGATTTTCCAGGATCCTGCGATAACAGAAAGTGGCTAAATGTCCTATTTTTCCTCTAAAGAAGCCAAATGTCTGCACTTTCAGCCTCAAGCAATTACTCTCCTGCTGGTTTTTGCTCAACTGTTCCTATAAAGCTCAAAATGAACCCTGCTCAAGTCTGACAGAGTTTCTACAGAACTGTCTAATGACCTTCTAGTGGGTGCAAATCACAACAAATGAATGAAGCACAAGTAAAAAAAACGACATATCTGGAAATCTTAAGTAAGTTCAGCACTTTAACACAAAGCAGCTCTTTGATGAGTCTTCTCGGGACAAAGATTCGTTGTGTTGTTGAGTGTGAATCATGGATGGAAGTCAAAGGCTCCACTGTGACTTTTTCTTCTGTCTTCCACAGAATGTTTCTGAACGAGCACAAACGGTTCTTGAAATAACGGTTTGTTTCACCGCGATGAAGAAGAGGAGCTGAATGCAGATAAACAAAATTGTTATGATTTAAAGAATCAGACTGAGGACAATTCAAGTTTATTTATAAAGCGCCAAATCACGACAAGAGTCGTCTCAGGGACCTTCACACAGTAAACATTCCAGTACAGGTCAGGTCATTAAGCCAATCAGTAAAAAAGTTTCCTACATAAGGAACCCAGCAGGTTGCATCGAGTCACTGACTAGTGTCAGAGTACAGCAATCCTCATACTAAGCAAGCATGTAGCGACAGTGGAGAGGAAAACTCCTGTTTAACAAGAGCCCCGTTGTTGTAAACTAGCGTTTAGCGATGGTGAGATCACGGAACAGAGCGGCGTGGTAAAAGCTCCCAAATGAAAAAAGTCATTTCTGAGTTTTAGACGCTGTTCTAGCTAAAAACTGGCCGTTTTGGGGTGATTTGAGCTAGATGTGCAGCTGAGAACAATTCCATGCTGTCGTTCTTTTTAAAACACAGAAACAGTTTTGTTTACCTGTTTTGTCGCTACGTTTCGCCGGCGGCTGCAGGCACGCATGAGACTGCATCGTCGGAGAGGGGAGAGCGGGCAGTAGAGGGCGACAGCGTCCTCTGCTGCCGGCGGATAAACGGAGAAGGAAGTGACGCGCCACCATCAGCGTCAGCCTGAAGAAGCCGGCAGCCGCCGGCGAAACGTAGCGACAAAACAGGTAAACAAAACTGTTTCTGTGTTTTAAAAAGAACGACAGCATGGAATTACCACGACACAGCAAGAACACACCTAAGAAGCTGAGAACAATGTTGGTGTATTTATAAAGTTTCATCAATAAAACAATGACTAAATATTTCCCCAGTGAGTCGTGGCGGATGGCTGCTTACGCCTGAGTCATGCTTCTCCGTCAGCTCCAAAAGGGAGAGACACACGCACGGACGGACGGAGATAATTTCTCTCCGACTTCTCCGTCTCCTGGAGAGTGTAGCCAAGCAATTCCCCACCAGGACAGCAGAGGGTGTAGCGCTGTTCTGTGGTATCCTGTCATGTATCGGTGCAAGATAGTGTGTTTATATTGTGTTTTTTGTATCTAAGAGACTTTTTAACACGGACAGATTTGTCTCTCATCCTCCTCCACCTCTTCATGCACTCGCCACCTCTAAACCCACGTTTCCTGTCATTTCCGTCCACAAATAAAACGCTTGCTGCATCTTTTCACTCCTCCAGTCACGGGAAATTAAAAGTTCATGTTTTTAGGGTTTTTTTGCGAGGTATTCTTCAAGCTGCTCCGTGTCTGCCGCTAGTTATCCTCGGCTCTCTTTATGTTTTTGAGGGTGCAATGGCGGCGGTGTAGACAACAGCGGTGCCCTGACCAATCACAAGCTTGCGTTCTCCGTCTCGACGGACGGATGTTTAGAAAAGAGAGCTCGACTCCGTCCGTCCTTGCGGAGCTCTCCGGCAGCCCCGCAAGGACGGATGATGGTGTTGCGTGTCTCCGCGCTGACGCAGACGGAGAAGCATGACTCAGGCTTTAGACTGAGCCAGGATCCTCTGGAGGTTTCTTACTGTTAAAAGGGAGTTTTCCTCTCCACAGTCACTGCATGTTTGCTTAGTATGAGGATTGCTGTAAAGACTCTGACACTAGTCAGTGACTCGATGCAACCTGCTGGGTTCCTTATATAGGAAACTTTTTACTGATTGGCTTAATGAACTGACCTGTAGTGGAAGGTTTACTGTGTGAAGGTCCCTGAGACGACTCTTGTTGTGATTTGGCGCTTTATAAATAAACTTGACTTGAACTGAATTTCACGTTTTCCCTTTAATTTAAAAACTTGCAGTAAACAAATGATCTGAGGTCTGTTTTAAACCAATCAAGGGTTAATATTTTTGTCCTTCCAACTCCTGACAAATACAAAAGGTGTGTGTGTGTGTGTGTGTGTGTGTGTGTGTCGGAGTGTGTTATTGTGTGTGTTTTATGTGACCGAGAATGATGCGTCGTGCCGACTCAGCAGGATGATAATGCTGCGACCTTGTCGAGCCTCGAAAGCTTTTCCATCCCTCCCCCGTTTCTGAAGTTGTGCCAAGGTTGCTGCTGGGTTTTCTTGTTTTTAAATCCACAAAAATATAAATTTAAATACCTCAGGTCCTGAATGTTTAATCCTGTGGTGTTTTTGTGACATAATCTGGTGATTCAGAATGTTTCAGCTGCTGTTTATCATCACAAACTCAGGCTGGTTTTACTCTGAACACCTGATGATGGAAAACCGATAGTTCCCTGCCTCAGGCCATGGGATCAGCAGTGTGTGTGTGTGTGTGTGTGTGTATGCACACGCACGTGTGTGCGCGTATGCACGCGTGTCTGTGTCACTGTGTATGTGTGTGTGTGTGCGTGCGTGTGTGTTTATATGCACGCGTGTGTGTGTGTGCGTGTGTATATGCACGCGTGTGTGTGTATATGCACGCGTGTGTGTGTATATGCACGCGTGTGTGTGTATATGCACGCGTGTGTGTGTATATGCACGCGTGTGTGCATGTGCATGTGTATATGCACGCGTGTGCATGCGTATGTGTGTGTGTATATGCCCGCGTGTGTGTATGTGTGTGCGCGCACGTGTGTGTGCATGTGCATGTGTGTGTGTGCATGTGTGTGTGCGTGCATGTGTGTGTGTGCGCATGTGTGTGCGTGCGTGTGTGTGTCAACAAGACATTCTGACCATTAGATCATCTGCTTTGTTCTGCGGAGCCTCAGAAACTTTCAGATGTAAAGTCAGAGGAGAAGCTGCCTGATGAAAGGAGCAGGAGGAGGAGGAGGAGGAAAATGGGGGAGTAAGGGGAGTGGGGGATGGTGAGAGCCACTTCAGAGCCAAAAGGGTGTGTGTGTGTGTGTGTGTGTGTGGGGGGGGGGTCAGCACAAGAAGACGAGTTCTTCTCGCATTCAGATGGAGCTAAAGGTCCTTCATCAGAGGCTGTTTTTATTCTATCTTCCCATATTTTTAAGCTCGTTTTCCAAACCTAACAATCAGAATCTTCAGCATTCACCGACATGTAAACTGAAACGTGAAAATGTTTGTTTTAGACTTTTCTATCAAAGATTCCAAAAGAAAAAATCTCTGAAAACCTGATAAACGTCCTCATGTTGTTCAATTTGAAAATTTAAACTGGATCAAGAGAAAGTCGTGTCCCTAAAGGAGATTTCAGCCATTTTCATGTGTTTTTGTGTCAAACTCATAAATAACTAACGTCTCAGCTGATGTAGAACAGGCTGTTTGTAGAAATGGTTCACTTCCTGGCTTCATAAAGCAGCTAAAAATAAATAATTATTTTATAAACCGTTTTACTGCCATCAAGAAAAGACTTATTGATAAACCCCCTTTAAGAGACAAAAATCACACAGAGTTTCAAAGTAAAACTACGGAGCTGAGAAAGCTAGCGTGTTGATAAAGCTAATTATTAATCACCTCACACTGGTGCATATTTCACTGCCCATTAAGGTAATATTATCTTTTCCTGTATGCTCTGAACACACACACACACACACACACACACACACACACACACACACACACACACACACACACACACACACACACACACACACACACACACACACACACACACACACACACACACACACACAACTCCTAGGTTACCTGAGGGCATTTTAAGTTTGGTCGTGGCTGTACTCGACCTAGCGGTTAGCTCCTCAGTCCTGTCAGAAACAAACTCTAATTCTCTGCACGGAGGCTGATCAGGAATCTAAAACAGGTCAGACGTAGAAATTGACAGATATTGGTTTTGACATGTACCGCCCATTTTCATGCCCGACAGCTCACTTACTTTTAGGCAAAAATGTCGCTAAAAACATCCGTTGATGCACAAAAATTCTGAAGCTGAATCCGTTTTTGCATTTAAAGAGCAAGTCGCCCCCTATCAGAGTCGTACTCCACTCCCACTTCCTGTTTGAAAAATGCAACAAATGCTGTTGCCTAGCAGACCGAGAGGGCGGAGCCGCTAACAAATACACACACAGGCTCACAACGACATTGTGACATCAGATGGTACCAGCTAACGTTCTAGGGTACCTCTTAGCCAATAGCGGTGGCAGATTTAAATTCAAATGCAGTGCAGAGTTTTTACCTGACAACGGCGCAACTCTGACAGTTTTAGGCAGAAAATTAACATTTCTAGTAAAATGCACTAAAGTGCAAAACTATTGACGACACGTGTCTGCAGCACCATGAGACACGCGTTTATACAGTTTATCAGAAAAAAAGTTCATTTGGAGGTGACTTGCTCTTTAATCAACTGTTAAATCTCAGTGTTAAAGTCAGACACCTAAATGAAAATACATTTAAATTTAATTCAGTAACAGCACCAGGTTGCCCGAGGATGCGCCTGACTTTAAATCGGCTTCACTAAGGACAAATATCGGCCGATACGATGTTTTAAAAATGGTAAATATCGGCCCGCTAAATCGGTCTACCCCTATTAAGACGCACGTCAAAAAGGCCAAAATGTTCCTTGAAAAACTTGAAAGCCACCCCAGCCTGACACGAATCTTAATGAGGAAATAAATGAACATGGAAGCATTAAACGTGAGACTTTGGCTCGTCACCGAGTGAAAACATCCAGAGTTTCTGGCCGAGGACCGGGAGGTGGATGGCCAGGTGAGGGATTACAGGTCCGAGTTACTCGTGTCTCTTATTGTGTCAGCGAGGAAAACCGGCACAGAGATGAAAAGGTTTCCAGTAAAACCAGGAACATTTCAGGCTTCCTGACTCTTAACAGGAATTTTACGCCTTTTTAATCTTAATCACACGTCCTCCTCTTTACTGTCCCTCCTTCTGTTATTTCCCTGATGAATAGATGGACTTCTCACAGCGTCCTAGTGGGTAGAGTCATTTATATTCCACCCCCGCTCCCCCTACATTCCCAGCCTCCCTTCACTCCCCCTCCTCCTCCCATCTTTCTTATTTTCCAAAATAATAATCGACCATCCAGGTTACTGCTCCCTCACTCCGTATACACCAACAATGGTCACCTTCAAGAGGGCCAGAGCGTCTGGGCTGTACCATGTTACGGGTATAACAGGAGGGGGTGGGAACCCAGTAGGGGGTGAAAAGGGACACAGAGCAGCTGAATCCTCTAAAAATCCCCGGCTTGGAGGCTGAAGTTAAACTGGGATTATTCCGAGGGACTCTCAGCACAAACACACTTGTTAGAGCTGCCGCTGAGTTAGTCGTCTGTCTCAGCGCAGCGGCACAAAAATAAAACCTCGCCGTTTCCTTTTCAGGAATCGAGCTCTGCCTGCCAGGCTGGCGCTTCTCCATGACCATGGTGGCCAGCTTTCTCAAGGTGGGCGGGCAGCTCCTGATGCCAGCCGCGGCCGCTCTGTGCCGCTATTGGCCGAACGGGGATGACTGGCAGGTGCTGCAGATTGCCATCATCAGCCCTTTCGTTCTGATGCTTCCCTACGTCTGGTGAGTCCCGCCCACTGCAGGGGGTGTGGGGGGTGAGCCAGGCGATGGCTTGTACAGTACTCCTGACACAGTCCAAGCACTCAACGGACAAACAATGCTCTCTTTTCTTCTTGGTTTTTGTCTCTTTCTCGCTCTTGCAGCACATTCTGTTCTCATCTTTTGTCCGTTTCCTCGCCCCCCCCCCAACCAGGATTTTTCCAGAGTCGCTACGCTGGTTGCTGGCCACCCAGCACTACAAGCGCTCCAAAGCCATGATGCTGCGCATCGCCAGGAAGAACCAGGTTGACATGACAACGGAACGCAGTGAAGTTCTGGCAGGTGAGCAAAGCTCCTGAAATCCTCACCTACAGTTTTATGTCACAGAAATACAAAAAACAGCTCAAGTTAAAGCACGAGCCATCGACGCTCGAGGATTTCTCACCGAAAGGTCAATAAAGTCACACTTCCTCGAAACTGGATCGATCCACCCGTTACAGGACTTAAAAGCTTAAAGTGCAAAGTCTGTTTTAATCTACGATGATGGATTTAAAAACAACATCATGCGTAATCTGACAGGACTCCACTTGAGCTCAACGCTTACAATTCTGCAAAGATCTGCTAGCTGTGGCGGCCATCTTTCACTCAACTGAACAGAGACTTTCTTGAGTTTTCTATGTTTGGTAAAAATGAAAAACGGCTGCGATTAAAAGAGAGTTCTCAAAGCTCCCATCTTAGCCAGTAGAGTGAACACAGCAGCACTGATATCTAGAGCAGCTGCTGATCGTTGGTGCAGCAGCCCTGAAGGACGTCCCCATGTTGGTTACGTTCTCTCCTTCGCCTTCCTGCCTGGTGTGAGTACGTTTACATGCAGCCAATATCCGGGTTATGATCGGGTTAAGGTCGGGATTCGGGTTTCTGAGTTGATCAGAATAACCCGTTTACAAGCATAAATAGAAAGAGTTACCTCTAATTGCATAACCCGATGTAAATGCGGACGTTGGGGTAGCGTCAGGACGTATGGACTACGTCCAGACGCAATATGCGTCATTTCCGGTTCTTCTCGTTCCGGTATCCGTGAAAACAACAACATTTTTCCCAGTTCGGAAGAGATAGTGACCGCGTTTGTTTGCGCTTTAGTTTCCTCGTCACTCAAAGTGTGGTGCTGTGCCGCGACTCGCCACGTTGCTCCCAACTTGTTGTTTACTTCCGGAGTTCTGGCGCATACAAGACGTCTCGCTACTCAAAAGACCAAGATTCCTTGTGAACAGAGCATGCGCAGAACACACGCTTTGATGGGGATATCCCGGTATGCGTTTACACGACCAAACATTCGGGTTAGAAAAGGGTTACCCCAGGTGTAGTAACCGGGTTTTTAAAAACCCGGTTATGAGCATATCCAGGTTTTTGGCGGTGTTTACAAGGACCTGCGGATCCGGGTTATTGTGAATATTCGGGTTTTAAAAGGGTTACTGGCTGCATGTAAACGCACTGTTTTTACTGTTTAGCTCTTTGTGGCCAAGCAGGCTGGTGGGAAGCTGTAAGGTGATGAATCAGTCTGAAGCCTGCACTTTAGCTCCTCCATGCTAATAAAAGGTCCCTTAGCTGCCGGCCTCTCGCCGACTGACAGGAAAAGCTCAGGAGGTGTGTGTTTCGTGTTTCCTGCCAGAGCTGGAGCAGGAGCTGCACAGGAAGCCCCAGAGGACCTGCATTGTGAAGATGATGAGCACCAGAAACCTGTGGAAGAACATCGTGGTGCTGTGTGTCAACTCGTAGGTGGCTCGTCGAATTAACGACTGTTTCCTCGCTCGCCGTGTTCTCACCGTTTCTCGTGTGTTCAGGCTGACGGGGTACGGGATTCACCACTGCTTCGCCCGCAGCATGCTGGACCCAGAGGCCCAGCCCACGGCTTTGTGCCACGCCGACTATTACACCATGGCTGGCATCGCCTTGGCAACCTGTCTGGCTCTTTGTCCCGCCGTGGGGTTGATGGGTAGGCGTGGGGGGCTCCTCACCTTCATGATCATAACGGCTCTGGCATCGCTGCTGCAGCTGGGACTGCTCAACTGTGAGTAAACCTGGAGCTCCTGGATTCATGCGTGATGTTTGCATGTTCTCCACTCGGTTCTCTGGCCTCCTCACACATCATACCATGCACGTCTGGGTAGTTAGTGACTGTCCCTATGTGTCCCAGTGATGGACTGGTGAGCTGTCCAGGTGTAACCCCACCTTTCACCTCTGGAAATAAAGTGAACGGGTGAAAAGAAAGCCAAACTAGCCCCCCAAAGTAGATTGTTTCTCTGGGTGACTTGATGCAATCTGCTGGGTTTTCTTAGATAAACAACTTTTAACCACCCGGGATTACCAACTGTTTACCCCTCCCACTTTCTAGTGATCCCTCCAGGACGCGTGATTTGGAATTCTAGGATGTCCAAGGAAGGTCCCGCCTTTCTCGCCTCTGATTGGCTGCAAACGCTCTCCCACGATTGGCTATTTCGTGTAAGAGGAAACGGTTTTCACGCACTGAGTGTTTTTAAGATTACAGCCAGATCTTGAGGAGTTTTTTGAAGAAAATGTGAACTCATGGCTATAATAAACATCCTTTCTTGTTTTGCAACACACTAGTTTCAGTGGAGGAGTTTAAGTATCTCGGGGTCTTGTTCACGAGTGAGGGTAGGAGGGATCGGGAGATCGACAGGCGGATTGGTTCGGTGTCTGCAGTGATGCGGACGCTGAGCCGATCTGTCGTGGTGGAGAGGGAGCTGAGCCAGAAAGCCAGGCTCTCGATTTACCGGTCGATCTACGTCCCAATCCTCACCTATGGTCATGAGCTTTGGGTAATGACCGAAAGAACGAGATCGTGGATACAAGCGGCCGGAATGAGTTTCCTCCGTAGGGTGGCCGGGCTCAGCCTTAGAGATAGGGTGAGGAGCTCGGACATTCGGGAGGGACTCGGAGTAGAACCGCTGCTCCTCCGGATCGAAAGGAGTCAGTTGAGGTGGTTTGGGCATCTGGTCAGGATGGCTCCTGGACGCCTCCCTGGGGAGGTGTTTCGGGCATGTCCTGCTGGCAGGAGGCCCCCGGGTCGACCCAGGACACGTTGGAGAGGTTACATCTCCAATCTGGTCCGGGAACGCCTTGGGGTCCTGCCGGAGGAGCTGGTAGAGGTGGCCGGGGAGAGGACGGTCTGGAGCTCCCTAGTTGGGATGCTGCCCCCGCGACCCGGACCCGGACAAGTGGAGGAAGACGACGACGGTTAGTTTGTTTCTTTCATAAAAGAACCTGAAAAACATCAAATGTGAACTTGTAATAAATCTTGCTGCATTTTATCACTTTGTAGACTGCCTTTTTATCTGTTGCATCTATTGGGGTTATCTTATTACTTAACTATTATTAGGCTATCCTATGTTTTCACTTTAACAGTTTAAGGCTGTTTACTAGTTAGAGCCATCGGGTTAGAGCACATCTCTCGTCATCAGATTAAATGTATGTCATTTAATCGATAATTAAGTTAAAGCTGATTGATGTAGACCTATTTTTCACCAGTTTTCATTATTTTAGAAAAGAAACAGACCTGATGCACACAGCTGGGCAGAATCAGGCAGTTTTATTACATTTCACACCCAGGTAAGGCGTATATGTTTATCCTGTGTACTCTAATGCTTCAGAGCCAAGAGATGTGAAGTAAGTCCAACAGTTTGATAAATGCAACAAGAATATAAATTCACGTTTAAAGTTTTTCAGTTTTTTATTAACCATAAACCATAAAATGTTGCAAAACAGGACAGAACGGTTATTATAGCGCTAAGTTCACATTTTTATTTTTACAAAACTCCCCAAAACAGCTTTCTGCTGGTGGCAGAGGGAGTCTGCACTTAGCAAGGACAGTCGGTTTGCTGCTAAATGAAATAGCCAATCGTAGTAGAACCTTTCTAGCCAATTAGAGGTGAGAAAGGCGGGATCTTCCTCGGACATCCTAGAATTCCAAATCACGCCTCCAGGACGGAGGTGATTGAGCGGGGTTGGTGGTCTCCCCCCTGACGTCCATGTGGCAGGGGTGAGTTGGTGCTCACTTCTCAAAACACCTGGGAGGTTAATGAGTAGGCTGACTTGGAATGGTTGACTTGTGTTGTGATTGGCGCTACGTAAACAAAATGAAGAGAAAAGTTTGAACAGGGTGAATCCAGAGCATTTTTCTGAAAACAGTATTTGTTTTAATCTCGACAATTTTTTCTAGAAATATTATGTCGCACTGTTGCCTCGGAAGGAGGAGGTTGCAGGTTTGAATCCCATCTGCAGCCGTTTTGTGTGGATTTCTTCACTTACGTAGGTTTGGGGGTGTAACAGTAAATCTATCTGAATTAGAGATGTTTTAGCCCAGAACAGAGGTGTTCCTGGTTCCCACGCGAAGAGGAACCGTGCTGTACAGCAACACATGCAGCGGTGTCCAAATTCAGGGTCTGCATCCTTGGGAGGGTCTGGACTACCTGGTGCACGTAGGCACTGGGTCCCTCAGTGACTGGGAAGTCTGGCTGTGAAATTTAATAGCCTAGCCTTTAGATTTATTCTGTCATAGCTTCAACAACTGACCTGTCGCCCAGCAGCTGTGGTGATGCCAAACACAAGTTAAAACCAAACTTTGCAGCAATACGAGACCCACCGTACGCGCTAGCTCTGTCCCAAGAGAGACCGGAGACACTGAAACTGCCCACAGATCTGTCTCCTCAGACAATGTGGACGAACAAAGATTTCTAGCAAAATGCATAAAGGTTGCATGAACACGAGCAAGGCTACGAGCTAGAACTCTTAAAGGCACAATGTGCAATAATTTTACTTGCTTATACCAAATGATAAGTATCCCTAGACAAACTTGTACGTTTTCACTAAAATTTGTCGCCAACGTCTGTTCTAAATAATCCTATTAGTGGTCCCTTGTTTATCGCCGGAGTGACATTCTGAAAATAACTCGCAATAGAAGAAATCCGCGAAGAAGTCAGGATCATTTGTAGCGTACACAGCTACTACTGGGGTCACACACACACACACACACACAAAACCACACCAGAATGCCCGTTTGTCAGCCGTTTTAGTTCCAGCATGCGTGCATGGGCGAACAGTTCATTTGCACACTCACTCCAGCGTTTCAGGTTCTTGTGGTCTTGTTGAAGAGAGTCGCGTCTCCTCCTCCTGTCTATGAAGACGCAGGAGCGATGATTAATGCATTCCAGCCGCGGCAAGGTCAGCACAGGAGACCTGGGTCCCCCGCCTCTCCCCGACGACCAGCTTCCCAGCACCTTACTGAAGAATATGCGGTATAGAGAATTAGTGCGAGAGAACTGTAAAGCTTTGTAACTAAGGCCAAACGCCTGGAAATGCATCATCTTCCTGTCAGAACTGACAAAGCTCCTCGGATGAGAAGCGAAACGTCTTCAAGAAACCAAAGAAGTCCAGTTGCCTTCACTTGAACCCTTTTGGGAGTAAAGAAAACGTTGCAGCAGGCCTTGCAGGCTGTTCCTGAGTCACAAAAGACTCATTCTGCATTTCTGACCTACATCTGCATTCAGCCTCCTGTGGTAAACTACTGCGAGTTTCCCTGAAGGCTGCTTCTTTCTTATTTAGCTTTTTTAAGTCAGCACTGTTCTGCTCTTTGTGCTTACTAATGACTTCTTCCCTTTTTTCCCTTCGCTGGGACGCTCTCTGATGGGATCCAGTGATTGGGAAGTACAGCCTTCGCCACGACACAGGTAAAGCTGCAGTCTGCTGGGATAAATCAATAAAGGTATAAACCTTCAGTCAATCTGATTCTCACCCTTCTGTTGCTGAACAGTGTTGCGAGACACACTGAACAGGAAATTCTCCGTGGCCTTCTCCGTCATCGGCATGTTCTCGTCTCACGCCGTCAGCACGCTCAGCATCTTCTTTTGTGCTGAAATCACGCCGACGGTCATCAGGTGAGTCCGACGCTACGAGCACCTAAATTGCGTATTTAAAGCACAAGGAATCAAACCAGCGCTTTTATTTTTATTATAATTTGAATCCAGCTTTTCTCAAGTGGTGTAATATCACCATCTTGTGGTGGAGGTAGGAATTACACACCTCAGAGTCAGAAGAGTAAAAAAAAATCACTTCTAATAAGTCTTAAAAGACTTCCTTGAATTATGTTTATTTTGCCTTTAAAGGGTGAACACTATAGCCTGATAAAACATGACTCAAGCAGGGTATCTGCAGGTTTAAGGGAGCCAAATTTAAGACTTTTTAAGACCTTTTTTAAGGCCACTTGGACCAAATTTAAGCTATTTTTTTTTTATTAAATTTAAGCTATAATTTCCAGCTATTGCCTGGAACCGGTGCTAACCACGTCGCGAACGTGGGATTAGCCATCCAGTTACCATTAATGTTGCACTTCCCCATGGTGCAAACTCCCACTAGCGTGCTCATCTAAAAGTAGCCCCCTTTCACAACCAACTGAATGTGTACGGTTCCGCTTACGCCAACATCGTACACAAAAAAGGCTGAACACTAACTAGAAATTCACGAAAAATTTATAGAAATAAAATAATCTTGTTTATTGGGTCTTTGGTAATTTAAGACCTTTGGAAACTCTATTTAAGGATTATTTGTCATTTTTAAGGATTTTTAAGGCCTTAAATTTGGAAAAGCTAATTTAAGACTTTTTAAGGACCTGCAGATACCCTGTCAAGGCATTAAATATCTGATTAATAATGAGATAATCTAAATTAATCCGGATTTGCTTTATTGAAACAATTCTATACCCAGTTTCATTACGCATCGCCATGGTAACGGAGATGCTTTAGTACAGTAGTGAACACGTTCATGGCCTTTATTTCTGATATCTCTCAGCTGATTTTTAAAAATATTCCTGGTTGTGAGAAAGCTTCATTTTCCCACCTCAATGGTCTTTAAAAAGCAGCTGAAAACTCATCTGTTCAGGCTTTAGCGTGACCTTCATCATCATCATCACCCTCTCCTTATTCTGCTCTTTCTACTTATCACGCCTTTCCACGCGATCCACTGATTTCCCTTTCCTATGCATTTTCTCTCTCCCCTTCCTTCCATTATTATTATTTTTTATTACATTTTAAATTGTATTTTTCTCTCATTTTAAACATATTTTAAATCATTGAAATCTTTTTTATACTCCATCCATCCATTTTCTTCCGCTTATCCGGAGTCGGGTCACGGGGGCAGTAGCCTAAGTCGAGAGATGCAGACTTACCTCTCCCCAGCCACTTGGGCCAGCTCTTCCTGGTGAACCCCAAGGCATTTCCTGGCCAGGTGAGACACCTAGTCCCTCCACTGTGTCCTGGGTCTTCCTTCAGGCCTCCTCCCAGTTGGACGTGCATCCTGGCCAGATACTCGAGCCACCTTAACTGGCATCTCTCGATGTGGAGGAGCAGCGGGTCTACTCTGAGCCTCTGCTGGACAACTGAGCTTCTCACCCTATCTCTAAGGGAGAACCCAGACACCCTGCAGAGAAAATCTCATTTCAGCCGCTTTTATCTGTGATCTCGTTCTTTCGGTCACTACCCAAAGCTCATGACCATAGGTGAGGGTAGGAACATACAGGTGCTGGCCAGTAAATTAGAATATCATCAAAAGGTTGAAAATATTTCAGTAATTCCATTCAAAACGTGAAACTTGTACATTATATTCATGCAATGCACACAGACCAATGTATTTCCAATGTTCATTACATTTAAATTTGATATTCATAAGTGACAACTAATGAAAACTCCAAATTTGGTATCTCAAAAAATTAGAATATTCTGAAAAGGCTGAATATAGAAGACACCTGCTGCCACTCTAATCAGCTGATTTACTCAAAACACCTGCAAAGGCCTTTAAAAGGTCCCTCAGTCTTGTTTTGAAGGCACCACAATCATGGGGAAGACTTCTGACTTAACAGCTGTCCAAAAGACAATCATTGACACCTTGCACAAGGAGGGCAAGACACAAAAGGTGATTGCTAAAGAAGCTGGCTGTTCGCAGAGCTCTGTGTCCAAGCACATTAACAGACAGGCGAAGGGACGGAAAAAATGTGGTAGAAAAAAGTGTACAAGCTCTAGGGATAACCGCACCCTGCAGAGAATTGTGACGACAAACCCATTCAAAAATGTGGGGGAGATCCACAAAGAGTGGACTGCAGCTGGAGTCAGCGCTTCAAGAACCACCACGAGGAGACTCATGAAAGACATGGGATTCAGGTGTCGCATTCCGTGTGTCAAGCCACTCTTGAACAAGAAACAGCGCAAGAAGCGTCTCGCCTGGGCCAAGGACAAAAAGGACTGGACTGATGCTGAGTGGTCCAAAGTTATGTTTTCTGATGAAAGCAAGTTCTGCATTTCCTTTGGAAATCAAGGACCCAGAGTCTGGAGGAAGAGCGGAGAAGCACAGAATCCACGTTGCATGAGGTCCAGTGTAAAGTTTCCACCGTCAGTGATGGTGTGGGGTGCCATGTCATCTGCCGGTGTTGGCCCACTCTGTTTCCTGAGGTCCAGGGTCAATGCAGCCGTCTACCAGGAAGTTTTAGAGCACTTCATGCTTCCTGCTGCTGACCAACTTTATGGGGATGCAGACTTCACCTTTCAACAGGACTTGGCACCTGCACACAGTGCCAAAACCACCAGCACCTGGTTCAAGGACCATGGTATCCCTGTCCTTGATTGGCCAGCAAACTCGCCTGACCTTAACCCCATAGAAAATCTATGGGGTATTGTGAAGTGGAGGATGCAATACGCTAGACCCAACAATGCAGAGGAGCTGAAGACGACTATCAGAGCAACCTGGGCTCTCATAACACCTGAGCAGTGCCACAGACTGATCGAGTCCATGCCACGCCGCATTACTGCAGTTATTGAGGCAAAAGGAGCCCCGACTAAGTACTGAGTGCTATACATGCACATTCTTTTCATGTTCATTCTTTTCAGTTGGCCAACATTAGAGAAACAAACATTTTTTCATTGGCCTTTAGAATATTCTAATTTTCTGAGATACCAGATTTGATGTTTTCATTGGTTGTCACCTATAAATATCAAAATTAAACGTAATAAACATCGGAAATACATTGGTCTGTGTGCATTGCATGAATATAATGTACAAGTTTCACGTTTTGAATGGAATTACTGAAATATTTTCAACCTTTTGATGATATTCTAATTTACTGGCCAGCACCTGTAGATCTACTGGTAATCGGGAGCTCTCTCTTCACCACGACAGACCGGTACAACGCCCGCATCACTGCAGATGCAGCACCAATCCACCTATCGATCTCACGCTCCAGCTTTCCCTCACTCGTGAACAAGACCCCGAAAAACTCCTCCACTTGGGGCAGGACCTCATCCCTGACCCGGAGAAGGCATTCTACCCTTTTCCGAATCAAGACCATGGTCTTAGATTTAGAGGAGCTGATTCTCATCCCAGCTGCTTCACACTCGGCTGCAAACCGCTCCAGCGAAAGCTGAAGATCACGTTCTGTTGAAGCCAACAGGACCACATCATCTGCTAAAAGCAGAGACCCAATCCTCAGGCCACCAAAACGGATGCCCTCCACACCTTGGCTGCACCTAGAAATCCTGTCCATAAAGGTTATGAACAGAATCGGTGACAAAGGGCAGCCTTGGCGGAGTCCAACTCTCACTGGGAACGAGCCCGACTTACTGCCAGCAATGCGGACCAAGCTCTGACACCGGTCATACAGGGACCTAATGGCCCGTATCAGAGGGCCTGGTACCCCATACTCCTTAAGTACCGCCCATAGGGTCTCCTGGGGGACGAGGTCAAACGCCTTCTCCAAATCCACTAAACACATGTAGACTGGTTGGGCAAACTCCCACGCACCCTCCAGGATCCCCCTAAGGGTACAGAGCTGGTCCAGTGTTGCACGGCGAGGATGAAAACCACATTGCTCCTCCTGAATCTGAGGTTCAACAATCCGACAGACCCTCCTCTCCAGAACCCCTGAATAGACCTTACCAGGAAGGCTCAGGAATGTGATCCCCCTGTAATTGGAACACACCCTGCGGTCCCTCTTTTTAAATAAGGGGACCACCACCCCGGTCTGCCAGTCCAGTGGGACTGCCCCCGATGTCCACGCAATACTGCAGAGCCGCGACAGCCAACACAGCCCCACAACATCCAGAGCCTTAAGGAACTCCGGGCGGATCTCATCCACCCCTGGAGCCTTGCCACCGAGGAGCTTTTTTTTTATTCTTCAATTTTTGTTTAGTTTTTTTTATCTTGAGAGGGGCTATACAAAAGATTATTTTCTTTCTGTCTTTCATAACGAAGCCGTTTAGGAAAAAAATGTACAATTCCATATTGACTTAACGGCATTTAATGCAAATTTTTTCCATTTTTCAATCATTTTCTTAAGCCAGCATGTGCTAAAAGGACCCTTTACAGTACGCACCGAACCGAAAACGAGGAAACCAAGGCCGAAAGCCACAACGCCGAAATAAATGATTATGTCAACAATGAAAACCGCAGCTCTTATGGCTAAGATGTGTACCAACCTCACGAAACTCAAGCCAATACAATAAACCAGTTACGAAACTAATAAATATTTATTTAGCACTGACAACAATGCACAATACAAATTAAAGCTCAAAATAAAACGTTTCACTTGACCACACTCGTGTACAAAGTCACAATATTGCGTTTAAGGAGCCACATAAACCCTCATAAACTATCTCTTTACTAGGGCTGCAACAACGAATCGATAAATTCGATGAAAATCGATTACTAAAAGCGTTGGCAACGAATTGCGTCATCGATTCGTTGTGTCGCACAACTCTTCCAAAAGCGCCCCCCCCCCCCCTTCCCGCCCGCGTTGCGCGCAGACCAGAGCAAGTCAGATCAGCGCGAGGGAGAGCCGGCAGATCAGCGCGAGGGAGAGCCGGCAGATCAGCGCGAGGGAGAGCCGGCAGATCAG